CCGATGGCTCTGTTAATATGGCTCTGTCTCCCAAGCCGATATCGTCATCGGTGCCGCCGCCGGTGATTGACTTCTCGGCGGAGAAGAGGGGGAAAGTCCGGCCGGCAAGCGGTGTGAACAAAACCAAATTCGAAGTGGATAATTTAGGTAATGGGAGTGGATGTGGGTCCTGTGGTTGGATTCTTTGATTTAGTTCTTGAAGAAGCATATTGTTGGTCTGATTCTTAAAAAGATTGATAGCTTTCTAATTTGATCTGAGAATGTCGGGATCTTTTTCTTTTTTGTTGTTCTTGTTTGATTAGACTCCATGATTTGTCACTAAATGTGTCGTGTCTTTTGCAGGCGATTGGGTGGTTCCATGTTCTGTTGGTGCAAATTTTACGCCTCATATCATCACTGTCGATGCGGGCGAGGTAAAATGCTCATTTGTTTAACTCTTTGATCCATACTTTTGTGGATGAACTATGTGACCAAGTTTTTCTTGTTACTTAGGATGTTACGATGAAGATAATATCGTTTTCTCAACAAGGGCCTCGAGCGATATGCGTTTTATCTGCTAATGGTGTGATCTCGAGTGTCACTCTTCGTCAGCCTGATTCGTCTGGAGGAACATTAACATATGAGGTGATGCATTTATTTTATCCTCTTGGTTAATCAGTTCTGAATGAATTCATGAAGTTTGTGATGTTCTTCGTCTCTTGGATCTTCTTAGTATGCTTTTCTTGGTTCGATCATGTTTGTTATGTTCGACTTAGGTGGTTGATTCGTTCATGGGACTGTTTACGAGTTGATTCATGGGGCTTTCCTGGATTCTTGAATGTTTATTCCAAAAACCTTATGTCATGCGAGGTTACAACTCATTGCTAGTAGATATTGTCTTCTTTGCCCTTCTTCTTTAACGACTTCCCCTCAAGGTTTTAAAATGCGTTTACTAGGGAGTTTTTTCACACCCTGTGGGATCTCACAATCCACCCCCTTAGGAGCCAACGTCTCTGCTGGCACACCCGCCGATGTCTAGCTTTGATACCATTTGTAACCGCTCATGCCCACCGCTAGTAGATATTGTCCTCTTTGAGCTTTCCCTTCGAGGGGTTTTTCTCAAAATTTTAAAACGCGTCTACTCGAGAGAGATTTTCACACCCTTATAAGGAATATTTCGTTCTCCTCTCCAACCGACGTGGGGTCTCACAAGTGGGGTTCGAATCACGATTGTTCGTCTCACGTACTTCTCTGCGAAAATGCAGCTGAGAGAGGATAAAGTATACGATTACAATGTCGAAAATATCTCATATCGATCTTCTTCACTTTTTATTCACAGGGTCGATTTGAAATACTATCCTTATCTGGCTCGTTCATGCCGAGTGACAATGGAGGAACTAGAAGTAGATCGGGTGGAATGAGTGTTTCCTTAGCAAGTCCAGACGGGCGTGTCGTAGGCGGTGGAGTTGCTGGTCTATTAGTAGCTGCAAGTCCTGTTCAGGTACGATATTTCTATGTTCGATCCGTTATCGATATGGCCTATGAGCTATGAAAAACTGAGATTTCGCTTATTCTTTGCAAAAATAGGTTGTAGTAGGGAGTTTTCTTTCTGGAAACCAACATGAGCAGAAACCTAAAAAGCCAAAACAAGATACTAATTCAACTGCTCCGCCAACTGCTGCCATTCCAATATCTTGCGTCGACCCTAAGGCGAACCTCTCGCCGTCCAGTCCCTTTCGTGGCGATAACTGGTCGACGCTGCCAACCGATTCGAGGAATAATAAGCCAACTGATATCAATGTATCCCTACCCAGTGCTTGATATCTAAGCTCCATACCTCATTTGCCATCAACAACAAGCTTCTAGTTGGTGGATTCCTCATCTTGTGTTCATGCTCTCTGTAACTTACCATTGTACTTCCTATGTAGAATTTCAAACCGCCCCACGCTCCCTGTCGATCCCCCTCGGTTAGCTTTTCACTTGGTAGAGTAGTTATAGGCTCCCCGATGCAGCTGTGTTGAGTTGAGTCAAGTAGAATAGTTTGATATAATGTGAACGATTTTTAATAGGTTTCATATTAATGGATTGTAATTTTAAATTCCGTTTATTTTTGCTTAGATTCACATTAGATTTAGATTGAAAACTCTTTTGGTCGAGTTAAGAAGAAGGATCACATAAGAAATTGATTCCAAAATATTAACCAAAAAAAAAAAATGAAGTCAACTATAATCAACATCAATATAAGATATATATATATATATATTAATGATTTGATTGGTGTTAATTACGTAATTTGATTGAACTAATCAAATCAATATATAAAGATTGATTAAGCAAATTAAGAGTGAATCCATGCATGTATTATTATTATTATTATTATATCATATGGCTCACAACACATTTCAAAGTTGTTTTGTAAAGTTGTTTTGTAATGTTTTTCTTTTTTACTGTGTTTATATGATTCAATGTCGGATCAACTAGGACTATCAAACTCAAACCATAAAAGTTGGATTGGATTGAATTTTTAAAATATCAAAATTTTGATTTGGTTTATAAGTTAACCTACTTTGGGTCGAATTAATCTGAAAATAGAATTACAACTCAACTCAATTATATCTTGCCCTACTTTTACCAACATTAAGAACATCTAAAGTTTGTCATTGATGTTTGTGATACGTTGTGACTGATATTTGAAATTTGAACTTAATAAATATTTGATATTTAAACTTTATGACTTAAATTATTAATGTAATATTATCGTAGATAAATATAATTTTTTTAAATAATTAAAAAATAACTCATAACCATGAAATGATAATTAAAATTAAGATACTTTTCAAATAGAAAAAAAGAATTTAAATAAGAAAACGCACAATTCTGTTGATTTATTGGTCAAAGTGGACACAATAATAGATACGAAATGAGTTTGAAAATTGCAAATTAATCTTTTACTTTTTAGGAAATTCTCACTTTCAGGATCCTTGCGAGGTGCATCAGCCTTAATGCGAGGTGGCCTAACTATACGGTCTATGAGTCCATAATCAAGAGCTTGCTGGGCAGTAAATCGCTTCATTCGATTCATGTCCTTGATAATCTGCATTTATCCATTGACAAGGTCTCTAAATTAAGGTTGCATTCCTCAGAATCATTTCAACTTTAATATGAGATAAGTTTCAAAATTGACATGAGTGAACTATGAATGTGATAATTTTGCATGATCGTAGAAGATCAAGTTTCATAAACAAGAAACCGTGTTGGTCATCTCCCTGCTAATATGTTTCATTATGAATAAAGATATGCTATATGTTTGCTAAGGTGTGGACGAACTGACCTTTTAAACAGGCTGGCCTGTTTTTTTAGAAAGCTCATCATAAAGATAATCCCTGATTCTCAAGAGCTCGTTTGCTTCATTTCGAATGTCATCAGCCTGCCAAAAGGATTTTCAAACAAAAATGTATCAGAACAAAATGTTCAAAACTTAAGACGGGCATATGTGATCAATTTGCATGACATTATATAACAAATTAATGATACCTGGCCACGTGCAGCTCCGGAAGGGGGTTGCAAAGCAATTCTTGATAGAGGCATGGCAGAGCGGTTACCCTAAACAAGGAAATGTGTGGTTTGATTTATAAGAGAAAAGCGAAGAAACCAGAAAGTAGGTTCAACCACACAGATAGAAGGAGGCTAACAAGCGGGGAGACAGTTTTCACTAAGAGCATGAAAATTCCATAAAATCCGTAAATTGGGGGCAGCCAGGCACAAGTAATGAGCATTTCCAAGTTTATTGGATGCAAATTTGGTTGAGATTTGTTTATCAAGTCACAAAAAAATATTTCTTGATGGAGTTAAAATGATTTAACCGGCTGAAAAATAGGGGTCACTTTTACCATACTGAAGAACTCCCTACAAATTCCGAAGTCATAGTTTGAGCAACACCTACTGCCTTACGACACTAAATTTTGTTTGACAATACAAATTGAAGTATTTACCTTTTCTCCAGCTGCTAAAAGAAAGGCTGCTAGATTATAGGCATAACCAACGCAATGAGTAGCTACAGGACTCTGCAAGCTCTGCATTGTGTCGTAGATGGCCATACTTGGAGTTAGCTGCAAAGATGCATGGTTTCATTAGGAAAATAATGCTAAACGAACCATTAGAATATAACCAAAAGAGAAGGAAAATATAACAGATAATTACGATGAACCTCGTCCCAATAGAAGATATGTATATGCTGAACTCACATCTCCACCTGGGCCATTTATGTACATGTAGAGTTTTTTGGAAGTTTCAATGCTGTCAAGATATAGTATTGTGGCCAAAATTTGATTGCTAAACTCTTCATCAACGTTCAGCCCAATGAAGACAACTCGTTCTCGATACTGAACACAAGAAGAAAGTCGAGATTATAAAAAATCAGTACATTCTATTTTTTTTTTTTTTTTTTTTTTTAAAGTTGATTTTGACATTCATAGCTCCTAGCTAAAAGAAGTTTACTTCGGTATAATTGGACAGGAAAGAAAAAGGAAATGAAGTAACAAAATGATAAAACCTGCAGCAGCAGCATTCTACTGTGAATAGTTTTACACTGATGTTAATAGTAAATTTGTGATGAATTAATTGAAGCCATTGAAACTCATGTGTCATGGCGGTGAGTCCCATAATGTCAATCTAAGATTTCTCTCAGCCTCAGTTGGAGCAAAATTACATAACTAGATCTATCACTTACTAGGGCATTCCACAAATCAACCCATTGCCAAGTTCCCTCGTCAGGCACTCTGTAAGGCACCCCGCGGTGTCCCTATAGGCATCATCTGAAATTGTGCACGAGTAGCCTTTGTGTTATACGTCCTGCATGTCAAGTATGAATAGAAGAAATGCATCGACTGCCATACGAATACAAGTAGGATAGGATGCTACTGAAACGCCTTCTCTTTGCATTTGTCTTAAAACTTTAGTTATCCTAACAGATGCCATTGATACAGAAAGCACCAACCAGTAGAATCGGAATCACCTTCAAACACCAACAAAGGTTTGAATGGAAAATATAAAAGAATAACTAAGATCTATTTGATAATAATTTTGTTTTTAATTTAGAACACTACTTTCACCTATAACGTTCTTTGATGTTATCAACTTTCTGTCAACATTTTGAATTTTACTGAAAATTCAAATATTTGTTTAAGAAAGGTGAAAACCGTACTAAAAAAATGTGAGAAAAAAACATAAATTACAAAAGCAGAAAGCTAAAAATGAAAGCACTATCCAAGAGGCCTAAATATTCACAAATAGGCACATCACATATGACCACGTTACTCCAAACACTAAAATTCAGCAACTGAAGGAAAAGAAAAAACATTCAAAGGGCGCAAGAAAAGTAGTGCAGTTCCTATATTCAGTAGAACAGTCGTAATATTCGATCATTTCTGCACACTACGCAAAAAGAAGGCATTTCAAGTCAATCTCTCCTGACTCCGTGCAATAATATCGCATGATTTTTCAAACCGTGAAAGGATAATATTTCATTAAGGAAATAGATGAAACACGATGTGTAAATAGCCGTCATATGAGGTAGGAGTTGAGAGTAATAAAGCAAGCCATTTCAGCATAAAAAATAAGTACTACAACGGTGTACTTCCACTTCTTCATCCTTGAAAAGCATAGATGTCATGAAGTCCAAGATTTTCAATTGTTTAATATCACCATAATTTAATAGGATATTCAATTTTGAAGAATGTGATTCCAACACACAAAAAAAAATGAAAATAGCGCTACAATACCTGGCTTGTAGACTTTTATGAACTTTTCCATAGAATTCAGTAGTAATATTAGGTTTTGCTCCTCCGAATGGACCTTAAAATTTGAATAAAAAAACAGAAGCAATATGTGATTAACGAGCGGTGAAACAGGTAAGTGATATCACGAGAAGGAAAGGATAGCAAACTCACTAGCAGATTGAAGCTTCAGTCCCGAGAAAACCTTCGTCGCAACGCTTGCAAAATTCAAAAAACCAAAACGAAATCAGGCAAGCGTCGCGAATAGCATCAATTTTAACTGTTAATCGGAATAGAGGGAGAACCTGAGAGAAGGCTGGGAAACATTAATCTGAGGTTGAAGACTCTGAGCAGAAGAGACTGCCATTACTACTCGATAACAGAGCACCCAATGCGAAAGAGGACGACCCCTTTAGGGTCTGATTCCGAAGAAGATGATACAGTGCCGACGGATCAGGCAGAGTCAGAATTCTAAAATCGGGCCTTTTGGTATTCTATGACAGACGCTAAGACCGATAGATGGTCGGTGGGCTTCAGAGGCCCATATCCATAAGCCTTTCAATTGATTTTTTTTTTTTTTTTTAATTCAATTAAGTCACTAATATTTTTTCCATATAAAGTTTTGTATTTGAGCAATAATTCTGAAATTTTAAAATTTTGAAATGGCTAACTAAGAACATAAGCTGATTATACACCTAAGTTGCAGACGTTTCTTTATTGTCCCATCAAGTTAGTACTCATGATATAGACGTGAGAGCATTAATGCAAGCTTGTGAAGAACTAGAGAAATTATTGAAATTTTACGAAAGAGTCTCGAGAGTTTAGATGTACGCCAATTCTATATGACCAGTATAACAACCCAAGCCCACCGCTAATAGATATCGTCTTATTTGGGTTTTCCCTTCTCGGCTTTCCCTCAAGGTTTTAAAACACATCTATTAAGGAGAGGTTTCCACGCTCTTATAAGGAATATTTTGTTCTCATTTCCAACCGATAAGAAATACTAAGGAGAGTTTAGATGTACGCCAATTCCATATAACTAGTGTGTAACAACTCAAGCCCACTGCTAACAAATATTTGTCCTATTTGGGTTTTCCTTTATCGGTTTTCCCTCAAGGTTTTAAAACGCGTCTACTAAGGAGAGGATTCCACACCCTTATAAAAAATGTTTTGTTCTCCTCTCCAACCAATAAGGAATACTAAAAAGAGTTTAGATGTATGCCAATTTCATATGACCGGTGTGTAACAACTCAAGCCCACTACTACCAGATATTGTCCTATTTGGGGTTTCCCTTCTCGGCTTTCCCTCGATATTTTAAAACGCGTTTACTAAGGAAAGGTTTCCACACCCTTGTAAGGAATACTTTGTTCTCCTCTCCAACCGACGTGGGATCTCACAAAGTAGATGGTACAAGACTTGCCTAAAATGTAATTTAGTTAGTACTTATTGTTTTCAACATTTTTCCATTAACTAAAACATAATGATAATTCGAAACCGAGATGCCCCTACAACGGTGTCAACATGAGCTTAACTCAATAATAATAAAGACAATGTAGGACCTCCAGTATTCGTTTATAAATGCTTTCTACAGGCATAACAAGAACAGCATAATAATAGATTTTAAAATTTTCATTTATAGGCAGAAGAGAAAAATATCAGTATATAGTAGGAATAAAAAGAAGATGAAGAAAAAAGCTTTAGAATTACAACACAAGAAGATACCCTAGGGAGTAAGTACACCAAGCTTTGTAGTGAGCCGCACAGTGGCTTTATCTCTTACAAGACAACACTTTGCATAATCTATTCAAGACTCATGATCCTCCAATGCACTGTAAATTAACCTGCAAAGCAGAGACAGAGAAGATCTTAATGATGTTAAAAACTAGGATTCAAAATAAGAAAACGCTCTCTCCAATTGGATTACCAAAATATGGAGAGGAAGATGAGAGAAACAAGATAGACGAGTTTGAAAAGTCTTTGCTTTTTTTCCCAAGGTAACTGGTTAAATATCTCAGTAACATCTACCAGGTGCTTCCGCTGAGTGTACCTGATCATGAGGACACCACACATTAGACAGATCAACAAGCTTGGCATGAATTACCAGCAACGGAAAACTCGAGTATTAAGCCATATGCTCACAACCCAATCTCAAATATGTTAGTTTGATATCCACTGTAAATTAGTTCCAGTCATACTACATATTTGCAATGGCCCAAGCCTACCACTAACAGATATTATCCTCTCGAGGTTTTTAAAAGGCATCTACTAGGGAGAGGTTTCTACACCCTTATAAAGAATGTTTCGTTCTCCTCCTCAACCGATGTGGGATCTCACAATCTACCCCACTTTGGAGCCCAGCGTCCTTGTTGACACTCATTCCCTTCTTTAATCAATGTGGGACCTCCCAATCCACCCCCTTTTGCGTTGGCATATCGCCTGGTGTCTGACTCTGATACTATTTGTAACGGCCAAAGCCCACCGCTAGCAGATACTGTCCTCTTTGGGCTTTCCCTTTCGGACTTCCTCTCAAGGTTTTTAAAATGCGTATGCTAGGGAGAGGTTTCCACACTCTTACAAAGAATGTTTCGTTTTCCTCTCCAACCAATATGGGATCTCACAATGTAAATCTCCAAGGAGACTAGCCATGAGATCCCAACACGTAAACTTATCTGAAAGCTAATCTTGTTAATCTAAATCTCAGAAGAGACTGTTGGTGCTTTAACACAACATACATTCAAACAAAAAAAGGTTACAAGTTCACTACTTGTATGCTTTCCCCAGCTATCCACTCAGCACTTGGCCACCGAGTGTTTACCAGGCATGATAAGCTCTCCTTCTCTCTCATTAGTATTGTTTTATAAAACATGATAGGCCCTCTCTTTCAAACACTGAATTCAAAGCCCAGAATGATAAATGAGGTTCTGATAGGTAAAATTGGCAATCGATATAAAGCATATACCCCACTAAAAATTATGCAACCATATCTCTAGTACAGTAAAAAGTCAGATCAAAGATGTAAGAATTAGAGAAACTTACAATCTTATATTATAATAAAGGTAAGGAACACAAAACAATGACATAATCCAATGCCCTGTTAAGAGATAGAAGATGCACAAGACTCCTTGAGTGATGAACTCAGGCATAACAACTTTGTTTATCCGTGATGAGGAGTCATATGGGTTGATATAATCAAACTCAAGATCAGCTAAGCACATTAGCTGCAGCAAGTTTCAAAAGCATCATAAGTTCCTCAGTTCCAACCTTGTTTTAGGCAATTAACAATACTGTATGTCAATTATTCATATGTAGGGAATTACGATATCAATTCTATAGAACTAGCCCAATGAACACATGTAAGAATCCAAAAAAAAGTGTAGCTAGTGTTTATATCTAGAAATCAAAGGGCCTTCAAATCAAAAATCAATCTGAAAGCATGACATAAGAATATTCAGGTAAGTCTGTAGACTGAGAATTAAACAAACAGAGCTTCGAATAACAAATCAAGAAAAAGAGACAGAAATTTTAGGGTTTAGAGAGAACCTGGAAAACGACGAGTATAAGAAGCGCAATGATAATGAAGAAGGAGAGGAGCCAGACGTAGATATCCGCCATATTAGTACCCTCAACCAACTGCCCGTATCTCGTTGCTCTCCCTGTGTGTCCGATTTGAAATCAACCTCAACGCCGCCACATCGTTACCGGCCCACATGCGCCTGCGGAAGCGGAAATGGATTGAAGGAGGCGGTGAAGGAATTATAAAAGAAAACCGTGCACAGTGAACCTCGCCGGAGTCTAATCCCGACGCGCAAAGGATTGATCGCTTCTGGATGATCTGAATTTCTCAAGGCGACCGGAGGTCCCCGACAACACCTTTTTTTCAACTGCTTCCTTGTCGTAGAGACGATTCCTCCTGAATTTTTTTTTTTTTTCTTTAATGTTAATAATTACTCCATTAATAATAAAATTTAGATAAATTTTATAGTTGTATTAATGAAACCTTAAATACTGATAATTTATACTATATACTAAAAACGGTTTTAAAAAATGAATTTAGAGAAAACTTTGGAATAAGAAACAAAATAACATTAATATTTTCATTTATTCCAAGAATTCAGGAAGAGGGGAAGATGGAGTGTTTTTCAATTAAGGTATTTAAAAAGAAAAATAAAGGTAAAAGTATTAATGAACATTTTCATCAAGGGTGTTCTTTATTTAAAAATAAATAAATAAAGGTATTAATAATAATTTTAAAAGTTTAGACGTATTATTGGATATTTTCTGTAATTTTTTTTTATTGGAGATTTGAACTTTTGACACGATGATAACGTATGTGAACTATGTTCTTGCTCTTTATGGGTAAGAACCTGTGTAACGTTCATATTTTGAAACAGTTACGCATAGCTCAACTTGTTAAAATATATACCAAAAAATCATAAGTTCGAATCTTACCTATTTTATATCACCAAATAAATAAATAAAAAATGTTACTAAATAAAAGAAAAGGATATGAGATATTGATTTAAGAAGGGTAAAGTTGTTAGATGTCACATCAATTGGATAAGTAAACGAAACATTTTTTCATAAAGGCGGGAAAATAAAAACATCTCACTGACAGACACAATGAGACAAAGTGGACAATAATTGCAGTGGACTTGAACGGTTACAAATAGTTGAGCCCAATGGAGATGAATTGTGAGATCTCGTATCGGTTGGAAACCTCTCCCAAATGGACCCGTGCATTACCGGCGAAGAGGGCCAACAATTACAAAATTGCTGAAAGAATGTGAATAAAAGTTTTGGTATAGAACTGGCTTTCTATTTACCAACAATTACAATCTTGCAATAGTACAATGTCTGTAAATAAGAATATGTGCTATACTATGTACAGTTTATTTTGAAGATTTTTTAGGATTCCCCTCCTATAAATATGCAAGGGTTTGGTGGACAAGAAAAAAAAGAGAGGATACAATACAGA